GAATAGAATAGAATAGAATAGAATAGAATAGAATAGAATAGAATAGAATAGAATAGAAATATTGGAATGAAATAGAATAGAATAGAACAGAACAGAACAGAACAGAACAGAACAGAATTCTTGATTGGCCAAGTGTGATTGGACACACAAGGAATGTATCTTGGTGCAAATGCTCTCAGTGTACATAAGAGAAGAGATACATTCGTCAAGAGTCAAGAATCATCGGGTCCAACACTTAATTATAGTCATAGGGTACAATTAAGCAATCAAACAGGCAATTAGAAATCGTTAGAATGCAAGCAACAAGGTTACAGTCATGCAGTCATAAGTGGGAGAGGATGGGTGAAAGGAAGGATGGGAGGATTAATCGTAATAGTCATAGTAATGCAGACTTAGTAAATAGTTTGACAGTGTTGAGGGACTGGTCCCGGTGATGTTTTTCTGCTTGAGATGGCTCTTGCATTGCGTTCTGCTCCGGCTGTGAGATACGCTCATTCTCCATCCCAGTAAGTCTTCCCTCTGGTGTCCCCACTGAAAACTGGGGGAATTTTGTACTGTGAAGGAAACTCCTGTTTTATGTCCTTAGCAGGCTAGCTTTCTTAGAGACTCGTCCTCTCTAGCGTGTCGATCAGTAGATCAATCAATGGCGAAAATCCTTAATGTCAAAGGGAGAGAGGGTAAAGAAGAAGGTTGCACCAAAACGTATCTTTTGGGAGGATTAAAATAGCAGCTGAGACCTTGGCATGGTCATTTCTACCTCATAGGGGTGCTGGTTGACGCCTGAGATTCATGGAAGATCTTTGGGATTCTTCTGCAGGAGAGAAAAACAGTTTATGACCAGTTTGTTCAATCGTTCGTGGATGGTTCTTGTTTAATTGTTCTTGGATGGTCCCTTGGTTGATTGATTGAATGACTAAAATACTTATCCCCTGGCTTCTTTTGGGGAATCATGATGTTAAAGAGAGAGAAAGATCTCCATCACTCTCTTATACTTCCAATATCAACTTCAATCGAGGTAGAACAATTAAGTGGAATCTTTCCGGAATCCTTGATCTGCCAGAAGAGAGGCCTTCTCCTGGACAAGTTGGCCTCCTAAAGGAGGCAGAACAGCAGGTAGGAAGGGGGCTCCTGAAGGAACCCCACCAAAAGCCACGAGAACTTCATTTGCAGTCCATAAATGTCCAGGTAGCCTTCTCCTATCTCTCCCTGATTCAAGGCATTCAGAATAAATATTCATGACCCAGTGGCATCACTGTGAGACAATAATAGGAAAATAGACAGTTTGGGATGCAACGTAATGTCTTCCTTCCTTCCTTCCTTCCTTCCTTCCTTCCTTCCTTCCTTCCTTCCTTCCTTC